TCCATCCAGCCCTCGCCCCGTTTCCTCGAAGTCGAACGGTAGAGATTAGTATCCAGCGGTTCGTCGTCACATTCACCACCACTGCGTCCAACCATGCTGTCTAGGAAGGAAAACCAACACAGAGAGTTCAGAAGGGGGGCTTCTTGAATTAATCAGAGACGGCAGGGGAAAACGATAGCAGAGTTGTTGGGACAAAGAAAACTGAAATGACCGCTTCTGGTTTGGTTGGCAGTGCCAGCCAGTCAGGAAACACACTGGGTTTGAAGCCCGTTTCGGTTGATTTAAAGCCGAAGACGGAGGCAGGACTGTCTTTAGAGGTCCTTCTTGCCTTTGACTTATAACAACAACAACCTACTTTTACATTTTTCAGTAACCCGACTTTCCCTTTTTCGTTAAATTCCGTCAATATAAGGTTGCATTTCCCCCAATAGGCCCCAGTTGCCTGAGCAACAAGAATTTATGTTTATGGATTCGGTTCTATTTATTACATTGGAACAATTATAACTGGCTTCAATCTAGTATTCTTAATCACTTTCAGCACAAGCAAATGTCCATACACACTCGCTAACCAAGGATCAAATGTTTAACCACAAATTACGTAAGACAATTGGGCGGGGGAATAGATATCTAGGCGGCCTTACAAGATAGTTTTGCCGACACGGATACACAACGTCAGGTGTGATTAGGAACATTCAAAGTAACAGAAGAGCGGTCTTTAACAACTTATCCAGATTTAGGAGTGGAACCAGGACGCTCTGTGTTGCGTTGCCCAGATATTTCATTAGAACTTAATAATCCACGAGTTTGCCCCTTACGGTTGACTTACGACATAAAAGCGGTCTAAAAGAGCAATTCCAACATAGCTATTCATCATTAACCTCGACACCACTGCACCTGACCGGTGTCCATAAAAGAAGAGCGCGTGGACAGTTCCTGTAAAGGAGACGTATGGAAGAAAACATCCCCAAACAAGTCAAAAATGGACATTAATTGTGCTTAAGATCTTTTTCAATGAAGATGGCTTAAGTTGAAATGAACACCTTACAGACACATGCGCTTTCCGGTCAGTCATACTGCTGCTCAGGTATGACAACCCTGAAATCCTAACCCTGCCGACCTTTTGGGGAAGAATGTCGGCTACAATCTGTATGTGCGTATGCGGCTACGACAATAAATTTGGAATTCTCCAGACAATACATTCTTTTCACATTAACGGCGGATATAGGTAGTTAAAGAGGATTAATCTGAACTGCAATTAGGCAAGAAAAATTGCTAAGGTTTCCTTGTGGGGTGTTCGAAAGACTTTATGTAGTATAACTGCCTACTTAGAAATTTTAAGTAGGCTGAATTATCCACAATCCTCCAATTTCTGAACGCCGGCCGTCGACCCAGTAGGGATTCGATGATGGCATTGAACTACAAAGGGATCCTCCGAAGACCTTCGCATACAATAACCGCTAAAGTCAGTATACTAGGCAAAATGGCTTTTTAAATTGACTACGGGAATAATCGCTTACTTACAAATTTTAAGTAAGGTGATTTGCAAAATCCTCAAACCTTCTTCGCTCATTCGCCTTTATTCTAGTTGGGGTTGGTGGCACTGCTGGAAAATGTCCCCCAATGACCTCGCCCGGGGTAAGGGCACACTCCCCCGACATACACGCGCTCGCCGTTTGTTCACACGGAATGGTTAGCGATGATATTCAAGTCCATTTCAATGTCCTCGCCCGAGGTTTGAGCACGCGCCCAAACTTGCCCTCGTAAGTTTATTTTGTTTTATAGGATTATTGCGGTCTAATTTGTTCCCTGACATCCCCCGCCCCGTGAGCCTGAGGGGCGCGCTTCGCATGCTTCCCAGGCGGCCCTATGAGGTACTCCTACCGAAAAATTTACTTAAAGGGACTTGCTGAGCGGTTCCTTCCATGGCTGTGTAACACCAAAATAAATGATTGAGGTAAATCTGGGCCAGAGAAGCCCTAACAGCACCCAGAATGAGTTCAAAAGTGGATGAAAATAAGTAAGTAAAAAATA